GTTGTTTCATTACAAAATGGTAAAATCTGATAGTGATGCTTTACTGCCTCCCCCTTTCAGGGGAACATGATTACTCATCAGGGTGTTTTGAGTTCTTCATTGTGAATTGGGTGAAGGTTTACAGAGTCCATCAGTCCTGTAGTCAACAATTCAGACTCATTTGAATTCATGTGTATGATTGTGGTCCCCACATGAAACATCACTTATCTCAACTTCATCTCTGTGTTTCATTGTCATATAGTTTCACTTTTCCTAAGTCTTTTGAATTTTGTTGTTGGGTAAATTCTGTTCTTTGATCTCAAATGGTGGCTTATTCTATGGTGTGTGTATAGCCTTAGGACTGCTTTTCGTCTTATGTTGTTGTTGTTGTGAAGTGCCATCGAGTCGATTCCAACCCATAGCAACCCTGTATAGGGTTTCCAAGGAGCAGCTGGTGAGCTTGAACCACCGACCTTGCAGTTCAAATGACTTTGCAGTCGTTTATGTTATTAACCCACAGCGCCACACCAGGCCCGTCTAACTGTGGCACTTGGGAGTGAGTTCATCTCCAAACATCAGGGGTCCTACCAGGCTCTATCAGACCTGTGTTGTTGTTGTTAAGTACTGTCAAGTTGGTTCTGGCCCATAGCATCCCTTATAGGAATTCCGAGGAGTGTCTGGTGAGCTTGAACCACCAACGTTGCGGTTCAAACTGACTTTGCAGTCCAGCTCATTAACTCACAGCACCATACCAGGACTCCATCAGATCTGTAAGCCTGGTCTTTATGATGATTTTGAAATTGTTCCACATGAAAAAACATCAGTGACTTCATTGATCGCTTTTATATGCGCTGATTTTTCAACAACCATTTGCTGTACACTTTCTGTGTGTGCATAACTTGTGTGCATACTATCGCCTCTCTGTCAGTTTGCCATACTGGAGTGACTTGCATGTCACTCTAATACTAGAGGCTATGCCGCTGGTATTTCATGCAGAGTAGGGCACCCATGGTGGACACATTTCAGCAGCGCTTCTAGACTAAGGCAGACTAGGAAGAAAGATTGGGAGATCTCCCTTTCAGTTAGTCATTGAAAACTGTATGTATCACCACAGAAAACTGTCTGATACAGTGCTGCAAGATAAAGATGTGCATTGGGAGGTACTCAAAACACACTGACCAATGGACTTGAGAAGACCAATAATTGTGAAGATGGCACAGGATGGACATTGTTTTATTGATGTAAATGGGGTCACTGTGAGTCCCAGCCAACTCAATGGCAATTAATAACAATGTGAACCCAACTCATCTTTAATAGTTCTGTCTGAACAATCTCAAACACTGATGAAAATCAGGAGATGCTAAGATCTTTGAAGGTAAGGGTCATATCTTAAGTGACTTGTAGCCAGTACTTATACTTATTACATAATAATGAATGAATGACTTAATAGATTAATGATGTTTTCTACAACCAAACCAGAACCTAAAATGGGAAAATACTAGTAAACCTGAAAGAAGTGTCTTGGAATAGTATTTAAAAAAAAAAATTCATCACATATTTCTGGAATAGTCAGCCTCCACTTTTCTGTTAAGTCTAAGGCCCTTATTGGAATTGAAATATGACCTGTAGGGAGGGCTTTTTAAAGGAAAAATGAGGCAGTTTTCATGAAGTGTGAATTATACTGAGTCCTTTGAGGATTATTTTGGGCATTGAAATCTAAAATAAGAGGCATATAACTGCCAACAAATAAAAGTTGCATTCTGTTACATTTTATGTTTGTTGCCTTCAAATAAGATGAACATAAAGAAAATGAACCATGCTTGAGCCTATTTGGAAGGTGGGGGAGGAGGATCCTGAACATAGCTTCTCCTTTTATAAGCATAAAATGATAAAATATGTTTAATTTTTAAACTTAGATGCTAAATTGTATGACTATGTTTTTTCAAATTGGAAAATACCCTTGAATTCTGGTGTGGTGTTGTAGGATTAGCACTGGATTGGTAAACAGCAGCTTAAACCCTCTAGCTGCTCTTGGAAACCCTATAGAGGGCCGCTATGAGTTGGAATTGACTCGAAGGCATACAACAGCAACCCCTGACCACACAGGGTCCACTAGGAGACGCAGCTCTTTACCTCTGGCTGGCTTTTCTGTTGTTGTTGTTGTTAAGTGCCATCAAGTCAGTTCTGACTCATAGCGACCCTGTTTAGGGTTTCCAAGGAGTGACTGATGAGCTTAAACCATAGACCTTGCGGTCCAATCCAACTTTTCAGTCTAGCACATTAACCCTCAGTGCCACACCTTCTCTGTAGAGGCCATTTAGTGCCCTGGGTGGAGAATTGGGAGCAGGTCATCCCTCAACATTCAGTTTGTGGCCCCATAACCACAGTAAACTTGCAACCTTGCCTGTCCTTCCCTATCCCAGGGGAAGCTAAGCCCTACCCACACTTGTCTGCAACTTGACAGGCCACTGAATCTCTGCTCACCAGTTCTTTCCCTGGGGGCTGTCTGATGGTCAGTCTCTTGGTTCCATTAAAGGGTCTCCCAGCCTGAACCCAGACAGGCCTTCTCCTTTCACTGAAATTCCTCATCCTCCTAAAGGAATCTTATGAACACCCACCCTAAAATTCATTCCCACCCCCTTACTCTTTTGTTATTTTCTCTCATAAAACCCAATCCCTTTTCTTTAGATCTTACACAAAGGAATATTTCATTTCCTATTTGTCATGTTCCCCTGCATCCTACATTTGACTAGAAACCACATAAGACCACACATTGGTCCTGCTTGCCATGACTTAAGTCAGGACATTGCAGGTGCTTAGTAACTCAAAATGTTTCACAAATTCTTCAAGCAAATTATCTGATGACTTATCTTGTATACATCGGGTTTATATTTTTGAAGTATAAAATGTATTCGTTTGGCTAGATTCCAATATTCTCCACCAAATTAAAGCATAAAATAATATTTTTCCCTTAATATTTGTTGTTGTTGCTATGTGCCATCGAGTTGGTTCTGACTCATAGGGACCCTTTGTAGGGTTTCCAAGGAGCAACTAGTGGATTTTTAACTGCTGACCTTGTAGTTTGCAGACCAGTGCTGACCCTGCAGTGCCACACCAGGAGTCCACAATGACAATAGGCTCCAAGACAACTGTGTTGTTGTGTGCCGTTGAGTCCGATCCAACTCATAGTGACCTTGTATACGGTATGGCTATGAGTTGGAACCCACTGAATAGCACAAAACAACAACAACATAGTTGTCTTAGAGCCTTAATATTTAGCGCCGTAAATTTCCTGTTTGGTTACAAAGGCTCTTGTACGCCCTGGAAGATAGGGGTTGTATGAGCCCAACACCCTTGGCCCCAAATAGGACAGCAGTTTGTTGTTGTTGATGTTACTTTTTCAACACAAAAACTTTCACTCCGACTTGGAGCTGCTTATAGTGTTTAGGAAACAGGGAGAAAGTCGAAAGCTTCCAAACCAGTTAGTCCGGTTAAAGCACTTAAATGACTTAAGCCTTTAATATTAGTTGAGCCCTGTAAGACAGTTAGGCTGCAGGGCTTAAATGGATAATTCACTATTTACTTTCCCCCTCTTTAACTGTTCACTTTGTCCATTGGTGACCCTAAATGGTGTTCTTTGTCTGCAGGGAGCTTGGAGGCAGTCAGGACATCAGGAATCCAGGGGTTTAGATGAGAGGACTCAAGTCAGGGAGCAAGGGATTGAATTCTATTCGTGCTTCCAAATGGGAATTTGCTTACGGAGTAATCAAGAGGTTTAAAGAAAATATTTCATGGAATATACTCAACTTCACACTTGAAATATAAAAAGTTGTTGTGTTGTGTTTTGTTGATTTTGGTCCACAACATGCCACCTCCCAGCTTCTAGCTTTTCTTGCTGTCAAGGGATGGTGTGTCAGCATACCCACTGCACTAAGACTCTTTAATTTACTTAATAAATATGTGTAGACTAGTTAACAAATATTTATTTGATGATAGTATGTGCTGAACACCGTGGGAACACATAATTTGCTGTTGTCCCAGTGTACCTCCTATTTGTATGTGACAGGTCGGGGAGAGGGATGGCGGAATAAATCCTTAGATAACTGGTCCCTTGGATGTCAGTGCCCTTTATAACAGGTGGGTATAAGCCAAGTGAACTATGGCTTGAGGTTATTTAAATAGGTTCATGAGTAGGGGCTTCTCTGAGGAGAAGATGTTTAAACATAGACGCAAACGATGAACACCTGAACGCCAAGAAGCAGATGTGAGAAGATTTCAGGTACAAGAAAAAGTGTGGGCAAATACCTAGACATGTGTAAGGATTCAGTAGGTTCAAGAATCCAAAGAAATGTCTTTGAGAAAATGACATAAATGGGGACAAGGGGAAGGGGATGATGGCGTTAGGGTTTGTGGACCAGAAATCGAGGTCAAGGTTTGAGATTAACACTGCCCCTCCAAAAACAAACAAACAATGAACCTACCCAGTTGCCATTGGATAGATTCTGACTCATGGAGACCCTCCATATGTTGAAGCAGAGCAATACTGCATGAGGTATTCAATAGCTGATTTGATGAAACGTCTTTGCTTTTATCTACACTATTAGTGCTTGAGGATGGGGATGTTATTATATTCATCACCTTTTGTCCAGTGCTAACCATGTCATAGATACAGAGGGACTCCAATCCTCTGGAGCCACGTGGCTCAACCCTTCCAGCCACAAACACCAAGATGGCAACCTGGAACTGTGGTTGAAAACACTGCCTCTGAAAATAGAGAGCCCTGGGTGCCAATACTGACTTCTCCACTCACCATCTTAGCCTCAGATTTCTCATCTGTAAAATGGGAGTCACGCTAGCAGCAACTTTAAGCTGTGCAGATTCACTACAATGACCCATGCCAAGCAGTTAGCACAATGCACACACGTTGAAAGTGTCCAACAAATGGTTGTTGAAAATCAACACATACAAAAGAGGAGATGTACGAGACCATTGATGTTTTCTCTTTGTGTTTGGCTTTTTAGTCAGGTTTAATAAGGACAGGAAAAAGTGAATTCCTCATCTCGCCATTACCTCAGCTGCTGGCCCAGGAACACAACTACAGCTCACCTGTTGACCACCATCCTCACGTACTCTACAAAAGGACGGCGGAGGAGAAGGTACAGAGGTACCACTCCTATCCCAGCACCAGTCAGGATGATCCTGGTCACTCCACAAGTCACAGCCCCCATGTACCTCTGAGACAAGAAAGAGATTATCGCCACCGAAGGTTGAAAAAGCAACATTTTTGTGGACGACGCAAGAAATGTATGTAAGGAAACTTTTTCTCCTTCCATTCTTTCAGAGTTTCTTGAGTGCTGTGGTTCATTTGAAAACAAAAAAAGTACCCAGACTTCCATTCCATTGACTTCTGATGAAAGAAGATCAGAAGTAAATTCCTAGGTGGGATTGGGTGTTCCTTTTGAAGATGTGAAGGAAATGCTTGCGATGAAACCAGAAGTAGGTTCCTGAGGAGAGTGAAAAGTGATACACAGGAATTCTGGGACATGCTTAGTGACCCAGACACAGTTTCTACAGTTTCCAGAACAGTAATGTCCAATAGGAATGTAATGTGTTTCCCATGTGAAATTTCAAATTTTCTAGTAGGAATGGAATTTTACACTGTGGCACTGTAGGATAAGCACTGAACTGCTAACCAAAAGGTCACGGTTCAGACCCACCAGCTGCTCCTCAGAAACCCTAAATAGGGTCGCTATGAGTCGGAACTGACTCAACATCACTTCCCAACATTAAAAAAAGATTGTGAAAATTTAAATGAATTATAATAATGCAGGTTAACATCCCAAATATTATCATTTTAGCATGTAATAATATAATGATTTGTTCATGTGATATTTTGCATGCTTTTTTCATATCACATTTTCAAAATCCTGGATTTATTTCACACCTACAGTACCTGTTAATTTGATGCTGAATTTTCATTGTGAATATATGGTCTGCATTCAGATTTCATAAGCTTTATGGTTGAGGCGTCCTGGTGTGGCGCTGTGGGTTAATGCTCTGGACTGCAGAGTCAATTTGAACCGCAAGGTCGGTGACTCAAACTCACCAGTCACTCCTCGGAAACCCTATACAGGGTCAATATGGGTCGGAGCCGACTCGATGGCACTTAATAACAACAATGTGGTTGAGAGGGTAGATGTTCATACTCAAGTTGTTCCAAGTGGGCTTCTGAGACTCAGTAACTGAATCAAGGATTGTTTTTCCTATTGAGTTAATTGAAATGAAATAAATTTGGAAAATTCAGTTCCTCAGTGACACGACACACATTTTAATGATGTAATTAGCTAGGTGTGGTAAGTGGCCACCATGATGGCCAGTACAGCCAGAGGATGGGTCTCTGTGTGATGATGAGGAGCTAAACTCATTAAGCTATATTCATCAGGAACATTCATGAAAAAAATGTTTCCACAAGTTTTCATTATTTTGCGTTTGTGTGTGTCACTAAACTACCCTCTTAATATAAGCCCATTTGGTTTATATTTATTGAAATTATACTTTAAATATATGGTATGAAGTAATGACAGCAATAATATTCATAGTGACAGTGATACATGTTTGATCGATATCAAAGTTAATCCTCAGAATCACCCTATTAATGGGTGTTGTGTTCTTTCTTTGGCTGAATCGCAGGGCTGATTAAAGGATTTGCTCCTTTAATTTCACTCTGTGGCAGGTTGACCTCACTGTTTTGATTGTATCAACTGTTAAAGCGTTGGAATATTTCTATACTCCTGGAATGGCGCTGTAGGATCAGTACTAGACTGAAAATCACAAGGTCGGCAGTTCACATCCACCAGCTGCTCCTTGGAAACTCTACATAAGGTCGCTGTGAGTCGGAACCGACTCAGCAGCACCTCACAACAACAGCAGTGATCAAATAATTACTGTCATGAACTTTCCAAATACTTCTTTCCCTGCTACCTTCCCTTCTACCCAGAAAACCTTGGACTTGAACTCAAGGGGCCATGCCTAGTCCAAGAAACACGTGCAGATATCTAAGGACTGTGACCACTATCACTCAGTTAAATGGGTGTCCATGTCTTACTGGTTATGAAAATTGTTTAATATAATTTAATACCAACCCTGAATATACTGTTACCCCAATAACTAAATCAGCATTAGGGTCAAAGACTCTTTATATGGACCACTTATCATGTGTGATTTATTGAAGTGTGTGGTACAATAAAGCAAAAGTATAAAGCATGGGAGTGTTATGTGGAAGATTACTTTGTTTTGTTTATTCTTAGAAAATAATATGTAAAAGTGATATCGTGAATTCAGATTCAAAAGATGTCTACTTCTACAGTTTTTCACACTAACATAAAATGAGTTCTTTTTACATTTAAAGACCCTTCCACAATTGGCATGTTTCTTGACCTGTTGTACCAACCAGGATTGGTGCCTGTAGCTTGTTTTCTTTGACTTTGTAGAGCATTTTTGAGATGTTGAATCTATCTGACCACCCATCTGTCCATCCGTCCATTCGTCCATCCACCCATTGGATAAATCTCTCTTGACTACATAATATGTCCAAAGTGTCATGCATGGCAGGCTCTGGGAGTGTCCTTTATCAATGGATGGGTTAAGTGTTGGCTACATCGTTTCTGTCTCCCCTCTCTCAGTTTCTGTTGCCATCTGTGTCACCAGATGTTGTCTACTGACACCCTTTTCAAATGCTCTTGTGTTCATTGCAGATGCTCCCAAACCCCCTAGAGAGGACACTTACCTCCGGTTTGATGAATATGGGAGTTCAGGGAGGCCCAGACGTTCAGCTGGAAAGTTGCAAAAGGGTTTAAATGTGGAAACCCTGGTGGTAGCTGACAAGAAAATGGTGGACAAGCATGGCAAGGGAAATGTAACCACATACATTCTGACAGTAATGAACATGGTAAGGGAGGTGCACGTGACCCCAGTCCTCCTGGCCTTCCAAAGGTGATTACATCATAGAATTCCCTTGCATGGATTGAATAGTAGGGTGTAGCCACATGACTTTGTTGGTGGGGGGAAGTCAAGTTTTAAGGGCACTGACTTCGTACGTGTGTATATTTGTTGATACTGAAATGCACATACCTGTATGTCTGATCGATGCCCTCTAGACAGTTTTGGTAATTGTGACAGTCTGTTCATCCTGTTTAACTTTTTTAAACAAAACAATTGTTCTAACAGGTTTCCAGCCTTTTTAAAGATGGAACTATTGGAAGCGACATAAACATTGTTGTGGTGAGCCTCATTCTTCTGGAAGAAGAACCTGTAGGTGGCGAACTTCATTTATTTCCTCCTTTATTCTGCCATTCACTATGTATTTAGTAAGCACCTACTGTGTGTCAGTCCCTTTACTAGTCCTTAGAAATTCAAATCTGAAAATATGTAAAAACACTAGCCTCAAGGAGAATACAGCCTAATACGGCTGTGTAAAGAAATAACTAAGACACTATACAATTATTGTGTGTAAGTGTATGTGTGTATGTATGTATATATATGTTGTTGTTGTTGTTGTTAAGTGCCGTGGAGTCGGTTCCAACTCATAGCGACCCTGTACAGGGTTTCTGAGGCTGTAAATCTTTATGGGAGCAGAAAGCCTCATCTTTCTCTCACGGAACCACTCATAGTTTGTAACTGCAGACAATGAGGTTAGCAACCCGACTCATAACCACTATGCTGCCAGAGTTCCTTATAAAATTGTGTATATATAATATGTATATTATATATATGTGTGTGTGTGTGTGTGTATAATATACAAAATCTTATATGCGTATTGTTCTTGTTAAGTGCCTTCGAGTCGATTCTGTGTGTTATTGTTAAGTGCTGTCGAGTTGGTTCTGACTCATAGTGACCCTGTATAGAGTTTCCAAGGAGCTATTGGTAGGTTTGAACTAACAACCTTGCAGTTAGCAGTCCAGTGCTTACCCTACAGTTCCATACCAGGACCTAATATGCGTATATTGTTGCTGTTGTTAAATGCCGTTGAATCATTTCTGACTCATAGCAAAGTTGTATAGGGTTTCCAAGGAGTGGCTGGTGAGCTTGAACCATCGACCTTGTGGTTCAAACTGACCTTGCAGTCCAGTGCATTGACCACAGTGTCACAGTAGGACTCTAATACACACACACATATGTATATATTTGCACATAAAATATTAAATGTATATATAATATAAGTACAAATGTGAATAGCACATCATAAAAGGAAACTATAAATATTTTGTAGGCGTCACAGAGAAAATGCATTTGGCCACAGATTTGAGAGTTATATTTTGCAAGTTGGCTATACTGGGTAATTGCAGATTTGATGCTGATAGATATTTTGAAAATATACTGAAATCAGTCATCAGTAAATCCACTCTATCCCCTGAGCCATTTTAGAACCTCGGAGAACAAACAAGGATTCCATTAGCTGCTCTTGAATTGATTACAGTGAAGTGCAAGATACAAGCACAAGGCAAATTACAAAACCAGAACATATCATAAAGTGTTAAATTTCACGGTGCTCACTTCTCTGTAGTGTTTTGATGTTGAAACTGTGTTTTCTTGAGGTGTAGGGATTACCAATTAAACAAACTCTTTTCGAAGTCCCCTGAGGCGTTTCCTCTTCATGTGTAACCCCAAAGAAGAATGTACAAAGGGAAAAGTCAAAGACCAGACAGAATTAATCTAATTGCCCAGGTGTGTAGAGCTACAGAGGTTAAGAACTTGTCAAATTATGCTTGGAATTTTAGAAAGATAGCCAGGGTGTGTGTTGTCTGGGAGACACTTTTGTCTTTACCCAACTACTCATGCATGACTGAAGGTCATCAAAGCCAGGGACATCCTAATTCACTGATAATTAAAGAGCTGGTCTAAAAATGCCAGACCAAAGTTTTGGCCAAAACCTACTTAACCAAAGTCAGTAGTTTTAAATAAATATTATGGCAAATGATTATTTTAAGCATAGAGTCAATCCTACCCTGAGACTCGTGTTGTTTATTCTTCCTTCCATTCAGTTAGCTGGCAATTGTGAAACAGGTCTAAACTCTAAGGAGGTCTCCCTGAAGCTCGTAGCCTACTGATGAAGCTATTGTGCACTGTATATGTTTTAAGACTTAACAAGGATTTGATTTAGTAGTTGTTGTTGTTATGTGCCATTGAGTCAGTTCCGACTCACAGTGACCCTGTGCACAATGGAATGAAATACTGCAGAATGAAACAAAATGCCCATGCCAGTGTAAAATGAACTAAGTGGTCTTAACTTACCCGATGGTTACCCAAAGAATGTGCGTGTTATACATTTGGTTTTTTATAGCCATTTGCACAATCTCTTCCTTCACTGAGGTGCATAATTTTCATAAGTGTTTGATGTTGTTGTTGGTAAGTGCCAGTAAGGCATTTCCAACTTGTAGCCACCCTCTGTAGGGTTTCTGAGGAGTGACTGGTGAGTTTGAACTGCTGACTTTGTGGTTCAAACTGACCTTGCAGTCCAGTGCTTATCCTACAGTGACACACCAGTGCTTCTCCTGCAGCATTTGGTGTGTGGGTACTTTGTTTTTTGAGGGCAAGTTATTTGCAAAAACTATGCTAATCCCAATTTGTTGTAGAAATCAAATTGGCCATAAACTATGCTGCTAATGCTTTGTAGTTGATTTGAATATTCTGAACATTTCATTCACAATGGACCCTCTTACCAATTGTCTCCATACATACATAGTTCAAGTGTGTTCCTCTATTGACCTTTCTCCCTAGAAACATGATGTTTCTGTGTTTGCCTGTACAAATGGAATGATTCATTGGTCATATCTCTGTGACACATTCACACTCTGATTTGTGTGGGTTTCCCATAGGGAGGATTGTTGATCAATCACCATGCAGACCAGTCTCTGAATAGTTTTTGTCAATGGCAGTCAGCTCTCGTTGGAAAGAATGGCAAGAGGCACGACCACGCCATCTTACTGACAGGATTTGATATTTGTTCCTGGAAGAACGAACCATGTGACACTCTAGGTATGGTACAAACAAATACTTCATGTACGTCTCTTTTAGCTGAAAGCTGGAATGTGTTTGTTGATCAGGTGGTCTTTATGATGCTTAATAAGGAGACAGAAAGTTTCACTTATAAAGCAATGCAATTATGCCCTTTGGTGACTATTGAACTACTTCATTGAATTTGATTTAAAGCAGTGAAATCCACTGTATTTCTTGTTTTTTTTTTCATTTACTTACCCATTTGAGACGTGAGACCTATCATTGTTTAACTAGGCAAGTTGTGGGGTTTTTCATAGTCACCGGGATGGTGGTACCAGGTAGCTGAAGACAATTGGGTTGGTCTCCATGTATGTCATGGTGCCAGGAGGGAGCAGTGTCTCCCTTGGGAACTTACTTGACCTTGGAAAGTGCTTGTCCATGTTATTAAAATGCAGTCTGAGCAAGAATGATGTCTTTTCTTTTCAGTATTTAAGTAAACTTTGGGTTTTTGTGTTGCTGATTTAAAAAAAAAAAAAACTTTTAATTTTGAATTCAGTAAAGGTTTACAGAAAAGATCAACAGCTTTACATTCAACAAATCATAAACTTTGTGTCATTTCAGTGATCACAGTCCCCTCCATGTAACAACAGTTATCCCTCTTCTCTCTGGTTGTTACTTCCATTCCACCTGCCTTCCTGTCCCTTTTCAACTTTGTCCTTAGGTGAATGTTGTCCTTTTGGTCTTGAATGGTTGACTGTAATCTCAGGGGACAGCACGGTCCATTGGTGTAACATAGTCCACAGAGACAGTGCTCTTCAATCTTCTTTGGTGAGTAGTGACGGGGATCTTAAAAGCTCATGAGACGCCATCTAAAGTGCAACTATTGGTCACTCTGTGTGGAAGAAAGAAAAGGGAGGAAAACTGAAGATGTTTAGCATCAACTAGTCCAGTGGACCAGTGGAACGTGTGAACATCAGGCACCACGACTCGGAACTTTGGTTTGTTAGAGCAATTTTAGATTTACAGAAAAACTGTGCAGAAAGTTCAGAGAATAGCTATAAATCTTCTTTTTCCCTGCATACAGTTTCTCCAATATCAACTCATTATTAGTAACTAAGGAGCTCTGGTAGCGTAGTGGTTACGAATCGGGCTGCAAACCTTAAGGTCAGCGGTTCAAAACTACCAGCCGCTCCGTGGGAGAAA